TCATATATTAACGTAATTAAATTCAGTTTATTTATTAGTAATTTAATTTAATCTAACTAAATATCTTTGATATGAATATAAGTTAATTCAATTAAATACACTTAATAAGAATATAATATAACCTTTAATTAAGTAATCAATCATTTTAACCTAGATATTATTTAGTAAAGTAATCATATAATTAATCTTAGATTGTTTCCAATATATATTAACTTTCTTTCAGCATGTATTAAATTCAATTAGTTAACTTCCAATTTAATAAGAAATTCATACGTATTAAATTCATTTAATTACCATGGTTAAAATTACAATTTGAGCTTATTGAAAGCCAATTAATTAATTAAGCTCTTATAAAGCCATTTGATTAAGTAAGCCCCTTGAAAGCTAAATTAACCATTTAATCAATTTAGGCTATTTAATCAATCATTTTTTAATTTAAACCTTAAACCGAATTAACCAAAACACACATATCTATTTATTTATTAAAGTTGTGCCACCAATATAATTAATTTAGATACCATAAGAATTAGTCCTTGAACACTTAGTAGTCTCCAAAAGCATTAAAAAAAAAAAAAAAAAAAAAAACTATGTTTTCTAACTCACACTTACATTTCAAGTACACACGTTGGCAAACTAGGCTTCATTCGGCAACAACCTCTAACTCGATACATGCCATCATTTGTCCTTTTTCTCAGCTACACTATAAGATGAAATAGAGAGGAATGCTTAATAAGTGTATGTCTATGCATGAGATGCATGCAATACAATTAGAAACCTTTACTTTCGTGTCTTTGAAATTCATTTTTCTCTTCGAGCACACCCTATTGGATATGTATATATTTGGCCCTCTTTTAAAATATGCAATTGTGAAAAATGCAAATCCATTAGACATTCCCTTTTCCTTTTCCTTTTCCTTTTCCTCATAAGAGGATGATTACTCCTCTTGCAAAGCTTTTGAAGGTGTCTAGCCATTTTCTTTTGAAAACCATGTCATTTCCTTTTCCTTTCATAAAAATAAAAAATAAAAAATTCATAAAGAAAAACCATTTCATGATTCATGGCATGAATATGCATGCAATGCAATGCATTTTCTTAAATCTTAACTTAAACATGTATACATTAACATGAATATGTGCATATAAACATAAACTTATAAATATTACATGTACTACCAATTAAGTGCATGCATATATTTAACACTTGCATAAACATAATTTAAAGAACATAAACATCATGAAGTGGAAACATATCACACATTAATTCAATCCATACAATTTTCTTACGTAGGCACTGAATATACCATTCATTATACCTAACATTAAACCAATCCAATTTCATTTAACTAAGAACAAATCATGCATTAATCATATATTTTCATATTCAAACAACCTAATGAACACTAATTCATCACAACTACATGAAACTAAACCAATCCTTCTAGATTTTACACTTGGATGAAACTCTTAATCAACATAACAAGGACTAATTTTCAATTAAACTCATATATAATGTTCATTCAACCTCACAAACAATAGAACATCACAATTTCATAAAATTAATCAATTAATCCTAATTTTTGTTCTTGGCCGAATTGTCCAATCCACACAATCAAGAAGGAATTTCTCAAATAGACACATGCATTCATGTTAATTCATCCTCACAAATAATTAAGCATCATTAAACATCAAAATAATTCAATCAACTTCAAGATTAGGTTTCGGCCAAATCTTAGTGGTCTAAACCTCATTAATTAATTCCTAGTTAAATCTCAATTAACCATCAAACACCTTACAAATTCATGCTTTATGACTAAACCACATCAATTCAGTATGAACATCCAATTCATCATAACTAACTAATCTAGCAATTCTAACATTTCTTGGAACAATCATCAAACATCATAAACTTCAATAATCTTGTGGCGTAGTTGAGACTATATTTACCTTGATTGATGCCGGACTTAATCCTACCTTGAATTTTACAAAATCCTTCCTCTTTTCTTCTTGGAAGTTTTAGCCAAATACCCAATTCTTCCTCCTTCTTTTGGTTACTTCAAGTAATTCCAAGATGATTTTGAGGTTTGTTTAGTGTTAATTTTGTGTTTTGGGTGGTTGATCTAGCCTAAGTTGCTTGTATTTCCACTCTGAATTGCCTTGTTCATCCTTTGTTCTTCCTCCCTTCATTTTCCTTCCTTGACAAAATTAAGTGGAGAAGATTACCAAGGATTTTGCCAAGTTTAGGGACACTTGGATGGTTGAGTTTGGTTCCTTCACCGTGTTAATTCTCTAGAAATTTCTTGTTTTTTCTTGAATTTTTTTTTCATGTTTTCTCTTCTTATTTTTCTTCCGTGTGGCCAAATATTATGGCCTTTCTCTTCATCCATTTTTGTTAAACTTCATGCTTCCAATTCTCATCATAGCCGAATTATTAAGTCCCTTAAATTGCCAAAAACTTTACATTTTAGTCATTAAAATTTAATAATTAATTCAATTAATTTTTTATATTTTAGTCCCTAAACTTTTAATTACTACCATTTAATCCTTGTCCTTAGGTTTTCTATGGTTAATAATGATCACTTAACTTTACCTCTTGATTCAATTAAGTATCTAAACTTTTAATTATTTCAATTAAGTCCTTAGGTCACCCACACTTTCATAGCAATTAATAATTTAGGCTTACTAAGCTAAACACTTAATAATTCATTCACATAACACAATATTCTTGCATGCATAAAATATAAATTTTTTCATGTAAACATATATATTAATCTCATATTAAATAAATATTCACATACTAAAATAAATTATTCACTCATACATTAATATCTAATGAGGTTTTAAATCAATGATAATATATTTTACTTTCGAGTCGGTGTCATTTATGTTTCTAGTGTCCGTATTGTTTGTAAAGACTTTTAATTTAGTATTTACGGACTCCTACTTTCGTTTAATTTTGCATTCCATAGTTACAAATTTGTTGTGAGTTAATTTATGTTTTGAATAGAGATATATTGTTTTCATTAGTATATTGATATCGAGTTAGGTTTATTTACTTAGTTATTTTAGCCGTCTAATTGAGAGTATGAAAGATAGACTATCATGCGGACTATCTTTCAACCACATTATAAAAATCTTTTATTTCAAAGTTTTCTTAATTGAGGCGGATACAAAATAATAATAATAAATAAATAAATAATCCACAACAATAGTGTATATTTGTCATTTTCATACATATATCCTTGTGCATAATAGGTATATGAAGCTATTATGGGATCAAGTACTTTCTTCTCTTCTCCTTCTACATTTTTTTTTTTTTCGGTTACATATGAGAGGTTTGAACTCAAAAACTCTTAAAAGAACTCAAGACCTCTTAAGAGAAAGGCATACACTAATGCTAGATTTTTATGATCCCATATAGGCTCGTTGAATGTGAGTGAGAACCTTTGAGTCCATTTTAATTGATCAAGTTTAAATCATCTTTTATCTTCCTTCGGATTCAACATCCATTTATTTTAAAAGTGAGGATAAGGCTTTTTCCTAGCTCAAATTTCAAATCACTTGACTTTTAGGATTGATTAGTTTCTGACTTAATAATAAATACACCTCATGTAGGTTTTTGGTTTGTGTATCTAATCATTTAAGTTTTTAGTTATCTTAATCTAGATGAGGATTTTTTTTTTTTCCTATCTTTTTCCTCTCTAGGTTTTCTTATTACCTTAATACTACATAATGATTTATTTTTCCTATCTTTTTATCTAAGTTCACCATACGAAATCCCCTGCAACAATTTCAAGTCAAAATTATGTCAGCCCCCACAGCAACGTGCTTCCAATAATCATTAAAATACAAAACAAAAATATGTGGAGCTATTTACTGAAAATATTATTTTATGCAGCAAATAACCGAGTCTTACTCTTACCCATAAATTTCATTTGGAGAGACATCATACATCCTGTGAATGGTGCATATACAGAGCTATAGACACCAATTTTAAATAATTGGATCTCAATAGGTGCTATGAGGACATGGTTAGTGTAACAAAAAATTTCATGTCAATTGCAACTTCATTTTCTTTTGGTTTTTCTAGACAACAGCAACATCATCTTTGTTTCGATATTTAGTTAGTAAGCTAATTGGATGCTGCTATCATCATGAATAACGACTCCCCCACAGAATTGCGTCGAATATATTCTGCTGTTATGATTTACTTTACTGACTGACTGAATTCGCAATTTCCTGGCATTATAGGGGTCTACAACAGGATTTTTCACTACACTCAGAAGTGTAAGAAAGATGGATCCTCAGCGTTTGGGCTTGGGACTTGCGTTATCATGATTTTCCAAGAAACAATCATTAACTACAATCATCAAATGCCGCCACCAATTTGAATTTGGAATCTGACGAACTGGATTTATATTTCTGCAAAACAATCACGTCTCCAGACAAAATGGTACATTTCATTATCAATTCCTGAGTATAACCTAAATGAAACATACAAGTTTCAAAATTCAAATTCTGAGTCCTGTACATCAAGGAGAAAGTAAACACAAATTTCAAGCTCAAAATTCTTGGACACCCAAAGACGAGACAATTCTTCCTCAGCAGATTTCAAATAAAAAGAACTTTCAGGTTAAATCCTTCATCTATCAACCATTTAACATCTTCAGAGAAACCCACTTTTGATGATAACACGGCATGGCAAGGTCTCAAAAAATGCAAAAGATGAGGGCAATACCAGAAAAATTACGAGGGGTTATCATTGACTGACCAGCTCAGATGCCTGAAGTCCTGAACAAGGACTTACATCACGTTTCGATTCCCTTCCTGACTACAGTATACATCAACCCAAACTAAAACTAAGATAAAGCTGAATCTTTATCAGTACGCCAGTTAATTCCTGATATTGGAACCTGTAAAAAAGTACCTGAATGCTTCCAGCTATGTGCCCTCAGCTACATATATCAACAAACTGATTATGGTCCGCAAAACACTGTGCAAATCTTAACCTCCTGAGCCAGCAACTTCAGTATGCACTGATTCATTTGAAGGAACAGAATCTGTTTCACCAGACACCAAACTTCCACCAGTTTCACCCAGCTTATGATGTGACTGCTCCCGATCTTGATCAGGGAACACCTCAGCTTGTAAAGATGGAGCAATGTTATTCACATGCAGCCATGTAAGTTCCCACAAGCTATCCCCACCTAATGCACTCCTCTGCACAAGCACTCCCCTACTCTTCATTACAAGCAAGGTGTTCTTAAGAAGCTCAGGCACCGTTTCCTGAAGATTTTCATTTTTCTTCCCTTTTACTTTGACCTTCAGATATTTTTCCATTCTGCTAAGCACTCCCAACCATAATTTGCAGAAAGTTGTTAACTGCGCTAGTTCATGAAGCAACTGTAAAAACACTTTTGACAAGAGTTTTACAGCAATGATAAGTGTCCCTTCCATGTTTCGGTAGTCTTTTTGGTGTCCCTGAGCAATTTCAAGCAAGTCATCTAGCATAGTGAAGATCACCAGATCAAAACACTGTAACCACAGACCATGTGGAAGGTTGATCCCATCCACTCCGGTCAAGCACTTTTGCAATGATAAAAGAGCATGGTTTCTGACCTCTTCTCTCTGATCCAAACAAACTTTTCGTAAACCCTGCACAAGCCTCAGCCACATTTCCCCAATATCCTGTGATAATTTTGCAGACTCCTCCTCCCCCATTGCTTCCTTTGCATCACGGGACCACCTAGCCAAACAATCAACAGAACCTGCCATAAGTTCAAGTGCTTGCACAGACCTCTCAGCCTGTCCCACACGAGACTCTGCAAACTGCCTCGCTGCATCAACACAGAGAACATAATTTGCAGGCAACAAATGCGCTGCATCAGACATAATGAACAACAGGGCATCAAATCCTGCTTCAGAAGCTTCTGGATGACGAGCAGTGATGGAAAGCAAGGATGTAATTGTACGCCAACCCATTAGAGATCTGATGTGTGTAGCATTTGCTTTCACAAGACGAGTCACTTCCTGTGTAATTTGTTCACAGTATGCATCAGCAACACGAGCATCAAGCTTCAATACAAGTTGCAGTGACCTCAAAAGTTCATCCGCCAGGTTCTCTTTGTAGGGGAGCAGCCGCTGGCAAATCCGGAGAAGTCCAAAAACAGCCTTCTCTACTAACGCACAAGGCATTACAGTTGACTGAACAATATTAGCTATGTGCTCATAAACACCCTGCCACAATAGCACAATCCTGTCCCGGTTGTTCAGTGTAATTGCAATGAGCAACTCAAGGCAGAAAACAGCAGTATCTTCGTCTTCTGGTGAACTGTTGCCTTTCTGAGGGCGACCTGCAGCCCAGATGAGTGCTCGTGCTAGCTGCAATAACGATTCAGCTTGCAAGAACTTGCTCTCAGTGAATATGCTGTCAACATGGCACTTCTGGATTGTTTGAAGGGTGCGTTGATGAGCAGCAAGTTGTTGTTCAGTGGGTTGCGATCTCGGCTCCTCGGTATCGAGAGATAAGAGCTGACTGAATCGGCCCATTAATCCAGAAGATCTCCTAGGAGTTCCCATGGATTGCATGTGAACAGAAGACAGGGAATTTGTAATAGGTTTACCATGGCCTGGGTCAGCAGCAAGCTCTGATTCATCAGCAGCATCACTGGCCACACGAGCAGGAAGGAGACCGAGTTTGTGCAATCGCAGGATGCAATCCAGAATATTCCTCCAACCAGTACGAATATAATCTCCATACCTATTTGCAATGGTAAAAACTGTCACAGTTGCCATCCTTGCTTTTGCATCATCACCAAAGGCTAGCACAGGTTCCTCGACCGATGATGGATTCAAGAGGGTTGTGAACTTGCAAAGAGACACAACAAGATCATCCAATACATCTTCAAGATGATGGCATGCTGAGATTTTAGCAACAGCCAAGAATCCATCAATACATGTCTGGTAAACATCTTCATGTTCTGCATGATCAAACACCACAGAGATAGCAGCAATTGTTGGACCTGACATTATAGCAAACATATCATGGTCAAGGTAAGCTCTAGAATCAGATGTGATGAATGGAGCAGTCTTTTTGGACTTGTGCATTAGATCAATCCAACGGCTCGGGGTCATTTCAGGGAAACCAAATCCTTGTTCTGGAGTTGTGCGGATCTCATTCTTGAGAATTGAATGATACAATTCCGTCAGGAACTCTCGAGGTAAGTCATTTCCTCCATTGATGTGCCTATTATTCCGGATGAAGTCCTCTTCTGTCATTTTCTTCTTCACCTGTACATTATGCTGATCTGTGTTGAGCATTATAAGAGAATAAGACAGCAAAAGAGCTGCATCCTTGTTAGCTAGAATCTGTGGTGTTTGCTCATAATATCTCTCAGAAAATGCCTCAAGCACCCTTTGTATTTTTTGTGATTCTCCAGGAAGTCTAAAGGTTTCCAAGAACAACCGCAAAGCAGTATCCAGATTCATGTCTTGGAAATCAAAAGTCCAAGCAAATTCATGGAGAACCTGAACGCAAAACTCATCATGATTTCCCAAGAAATCCCCAACAAGATTCTTATCTAACCCAGCAGTGTACCTGAAAAAGCAAGCCACACTTTGAGGGTCAAGTTTGTCAGGTAGGAGATGTGTTCCTTGGAGAAACTCTAGTCCTTTCTTTGGGTCACGATTAAAGTGATCAGCTCCAATCATCAACCTTCTCTTAATGTACTTCCTCCGGCGGACAAATGGAACCCACTGATTTGGATCACTATAGTTTTCACACTTCACCATCCAGAAGGGGGTATACTCCTCAAGATTCACCGGTGCCAGTTCTGAACTCACTGATCCATTGCCTATCCTTTCAGCCATCCCCTGAATAACAGCAATAAGGCCATCCAGAGCAAGAATGTGTGTTGCAGACAAAGGGCAATTGACTGGAAAAGCACTCTTTGACAATAAATTAGCAAGGTCTTCAAACACATTACTGCATGTTATGTCACAATCCAAGTTGGCATACATCTCCACCATAAAGGTTTTCTGCCTGCAGAAGTCTACAAGAGCCTCCATGGCAACCTCTTGCTGCTGGTATGAAGCACCATATCTGCTCTGTGCAAGTCTCAAAATCACACAGGAGAAGAAAGCCTCGAGCTGCAGTTTTAGTTCAGTTCGCAGATGGTGATACAGGTTGAGAACTATGCTACAGACCATTGAGAGAATAAGCGGGCTCATCGACAAACCAAATTGCATCAGATTACGAAATAATTCATCTTGAATCAAACTCAGTAACCTAGTGTGACGACGAATAGAAGAGCCGCCCAATTCTATAGCTGAATTAATTAAGCCCAAAGCAAAAAGTGGGACATCTTCATCAAATGCTATAGTATTTGATCTGGGACCTGTTCCGACATGCTCAACAATATTTAATAAGGAGCACAAGAAATGAAATATCTCCACCATGCATGGCACTCCATATGGCTCTGTCATAAGATGCAAATCAAAAGGAAGGGCATCCTTTACACTACCAGCCCCAATTGCATTTTCTTCCATTGCCACCAGAGCAGTGGAAACATTAGAACCATAGCTCACAGAGGATGCTTGACCATCCAATTCTGAATTGCCATTGCCATTCTCCATCTGTTTACTCCCAAAAGCATAATCATTATCCAGCCCACCAACCTGCATAAGAAACAAAAAGTTTTTAATATTTCAAAAGTAGGAAAAAAGAAAAAAAGTAGATAAGTCTGTTCCGAGGCACACATGTCTGACATGTTTATCTTTTCCATTCTTTCATCCAAAAATTACGTAGTTTTCCAATAAACAAAAAGTGCTAATAGTTCCTCTCCAGGTCCCAGTCCATAAACCACCTAATATGTTTGTATGCATAATACTCAGAAATTAATTTCCACAGAAATTTTTCCAGGCTCCTACATGGAATGTGCCAGTCTTCCAAAACTAAAAGAAATTGACAAAATAAAATAGTATAAATCATAAACTAAGATCATAAAAGTAGCCTCACAAATTCACAAAAAAGTAAAGGAAAGGAGCCAAACCACCTCTTATCACCTATGACTTTTGAGTTTAAATCAGAACAGATTTTCCCCTAAAGTTCTATTAATTTTCCAACCATGCAACATTGGAAAAAGAATAATATTTTCTGTTGTTTGACAACCATGAACACGCAGTGGAGAAAAACTGAAAAGATACTTAAAAGGAAGTTTTAATTCTAAATTACCACAAGTCAAAAGCCCCAATAAACTATTAACATTTGTTTTCAAGACAACCCTTTATCATGATTATTGTTTTCATCTCAAAATTTTCAGCTTCTCTTTTATCCTATGTCTCAGCAAATAACAGAAGGACAATTGAAAGAGGAGATATTGCAATAATGAAGATGAATGTGAGATGCAATCATACCTCCTGTTTGACAGTAGTAACTCCATTAAACAATGCCTGTTCTGCGTTTTCAACATCTGGAAGGTGTGAAAAAATGCACTTGACAAGTTCATGCATAGTGTGGCGTGAAATCCTCTGCAACAACTCACTTTTACTGCCTGCTTGATGTACGATACGAAAGCAAGTGTTCACTATGGTACAAACATGCTGATTACTCAACATGACAGATGCTTTGCTCTTCATACAAGCCAGAAGAACCTGAAGTATCTTCATCAACACCATTTCTTCAGAGGCAGGGTCTGTCACCTCAAACCGGCAACTAGTCACAGCATCAACTACGAGCTGCATAGCGTCTTCAACATTTACAGTATTGTGATCTATCACATCAAGAGTTAATATCTTGTAAACAGACAACAAAGCAACCCCAGTGATCGGTGCACCCGTTTCATCTGACCGAATCACATCCAAGAACGGCTGAAGATAGAGAGCCGGGTTGATGGTATGCCATGGATGCTTCCAAGAGAAGATTTGCTTCCTCAATGTCTTCAAAGATTGAATTAGAGAGTCTTCTAGTTGGTCATCACCTGACACATAACGACCCCCCCATCTCACATTTCTCCTCATCACCGCCAACACAGCACTTACTTCTGAATTAATGGCATATGCTAAAGTAGCTCTATTAGATTCAAAAATATCACGCTCGTCGGGTTCTTCCTCAATCGACTTAATCCCAGTCTGCAGCTTTAATCTCCCCATTTCCGTACAATATTCTCTCAATATAACCAAAAGTTGCTACCCAAAGAAGATGCAAGTGTTTGACTAAGCATAAACCTTCCTAGCCTATAAAAAACAATTTATCAAAATCAAATTCTAACAAATACACAAAAACCCTAATAAAGCCATCATTAACAAAAACAAAAACACACACACACACACACAAAAAAAATTCAAATTCTACGGTAATCAACAGATCGCCTCTACTCTCAACTTTGAAATTGTCTACACAAGAAGATCCAGCTTAAAATTAAAGGCTTAAAACTGGAGAAAAATTCAGGATTTCCACTTAGTCGATCGCATTGCCTCTCTCTTTCCTCTCTTCTCTCGAAACAAAATAGAAATCGAAAACATCGAAAATATTCTGGAAAAGGAAGTGAAAAAGCAAGCGAAGCCAGATTCAAGTATAGCGAGAGAGAAAAGTGATTGATCAAAGAGAAATGCATTCGTTACCTGTGCTATGTGGATCGAGAGAGTGAGATCTGTACATACACCCACCAACAATCTCTCTCCCTGAGAACAAGAGAATAAATGACGACTTTGCTTTTCTTTTCCTTTCTTTTCTTTTGTTTGTTGTTTTTTTTTAAAAAAAAAAAAAATTTGGTATACAAAATAAACTTTCCATTCACCATCACTCGGCTATCATAATTTCAAACTTATGCACCATTTCGTCTCCCTACTATATTGGTCTGGTTATATTGGTCTCTCTACAAATAATTTTTATTAATAAATCACTATACAACTTTCTACTATCTAAAATCAACTTATATATATATATATATATAAGTTGATTTTAGATAGTAGAAAGTTGTATAGTGATTTATTAATAAAAATTATTTGTAGAGAGACCAATATAGCTCAATAATTCTGAAAAAGAGTATTGGGTGTTATTTCAAATATATATAAACTGTAAATAATTAAAAATTAATTATATGACAAAATTATTTCCCTAATTATTTTAAATTATTAATTATTTCAATCAAATCTTATATCTCTATAAATAAACTAAAAAAAACAGTTTGGAAAGGACATGAAATAAACAAAATAGACTAATTAATTAGTTTTTCAAAACAGAAAAACTATTTAATTTATTTTGCAAAAATAGAAAAGTATTAATTGATAATTTACTGAAAAAACACCAATCCTTCCGTGCCACCTTGACTTCAAGTTAAAACTTCAGGAAATTCATACAATTTTCAGTGATACTTAAATTTGGAGAAAATTTAAAGTCATCATCAATCGTTTTTTAAATCATAATGATAGTTATCTTAATCATTTAATTTTCATATTTAAAAATAATATATAATTACCAAAAGAATAAAAATAACATGATGTCTATGTTGATCTTTTATAATAATATTTGTATAGCTCGAATTTTATTTTTTACATTATTTTGTAAAAAAAGTAAAACTGTAAGTAGGTTATTTACATTATACATAAAATTAAAGTATCATTAGTTTTACTATTCATTTACTATTTGAAACACTATTCATATATTCATAAATCACTATTCACACACTCACAAATCATTATTCTTTTCATTATTCATGACATTTTTGTAACACTTTGGTCCTCAAAATTTTTATATATTTTTTTTAATTTTAAACTTTAATTGTATTATGATTTAATCTCATTTTGTTTTAGTGTTTTTTGTTAATTTTTTTTATTATTTAAGATTTACTACTTTAATTTGTCATTTTTTTAAAAAAAAATTCTCTCTCTTTTTTTTTTAATTTCAAACTTTAATTATATTATGATTTGATCCAATTTTGTTTTAGTATTTTTTATTAACTATTTTTATTATTTAAAATTTACTACTTTAATTTGTCATTTTAAAAAAATTCTCTCTTTTTTTTTAATTTCAAACTTTAATTATATTATGATTTGATCCCATTTTATTTTACTATTTTTTATTAACTATATTTATTATTTAAAATTTATTACTTTAATTTGTCATTTTTTTTAAAAAATTCTTATCCAATTAATTTAAAATTATATGCTCTTCAATTTTTCTATATATTTTTTTTTCAATTTCAAATTTTAATTGTATTGTGATTTGGTCCCATTTTGTTTTAGTATTTTTTGTTAATTATTTTTATTATTTAAAATTTACTACTTTAATTTGTTGTTTTTTTTTTACCATTCTCATCCAATTAATTTAAAAGTATATTTATTGACGAGTTTTGATTTATTTTTCCATATATATGAATTTTGGAATAAATTTTTAGAACATGAGTATTTTTTCTTTTGAAAAATAAATTTAGATAATTTTTAAATTATAGTGTCATGATTAATATATATAATTTATCTAAAATACATTTTTAGATTAAAAGTGTATTTCAAATAATTTTTCTCGATTTTTTTAGGAAAAAAAAACTAAAATTAGTCAATTAATAGTTGAAACTCAAATGTGAAAAATAAAAAGAAGATGATTGCTCTACGTGTGAGGCTCGTATTTAAGAACTAGCCATGCTAGCATAGAAATAAAAAATTATTTAAGAAGGAGGGGGAAAAAAAAAGAAAAAGGATTCACATGTTTTATTAATTTGTTTCTTCTTTATATAATCAAAATTAATCGAAATCAAATTTGTAATAATTTTTATTTTAGCCTATTAACTTCAAATTTAGTTAATAGATTCATTGCAAGTTAACTTTTTTTATATAAATAGTATTTTTTGTTTTGGACTAAAAACTCGAATCGTTGTTTTTTTAAAAATTAACTGTGCAACTACTACACTAAGCATTTACTTTTATTTATTTATTTTTAAATATTGTAAAATTAACTTATTTTAAATTAAATAATTAAAATTATGTTTTGGCTTTACCACTCAATGATTCAAATTAATATAGTTTTTATTTTAATATTATTCATTCTTTTGTAAATAAATATATAATAATTAAATTCATTTTTTTTCAAAAATCGATATTCTCATCAACATTAAATAAAAATAAAAAAATTATTCGTTCAGTTTTATGTAAACTTTTAATATTTATTATTTTTGTTTTTCGACATAATCTTAAAAATACTAAAGCTTTCTAAAAAAAAAATTATTTAATTTTCCTTTTAGTTAATAATCCATGGATTAACAAGGATAAATCCTTTTTTCTAAAGGAAAAATTATGAAAAACTCAAATAAGAAATAGTTAAATACAAAATTTTTTATTAAAAAATTATAAATAATTTTTTTCACTTCTGATTTTATATATTTTTATAGATTCACATCATAAAATAGACTATTAAACTGAAATGATTTTTGTAAATAATTTTATATATTTTATCTAATCCGCAATGTAGCGTATGCAAAAAAATTAATTTCATATTCTATGACAAGAGACCGAGCTCATGTCTACATCGAAGTTGAAGTTTAAGATTTTTTTTTTTAATAATTACATTCATACTTGAAGACATAAATATGTCATTAACTCTATAGTATATTATGATAGATATTATTCCATCTCTCAACCTCATGAATGAAAGATTTATAAAAAAACCAAAAAGAAAAAAAAAACTTACATAACATTGCACCCGATATAATTTTACATATCAATTGATTAAGTATTGTTTTTAAGTTCTATCTTTATTGGTTCTTAGATTAATTTTTTTATATAAAATAATATAAATATTAAAGAATATATATTTTTCACAATCAGTAGCATAATCTTAAGAAATATTTTTATCTATTTATCCATATTATGCCATATCCACATTTCCTTAACTTTTAGACTAGAAGAAAAAAAAGACAAAAATCAAAACTTTCATCTATTATTTCTAATTATTTTGCTAAACTAGATTAGTGATGATATACATATATTAAATTTCAAGTTTCTTTATAAGCATTAACTATTTTTAATTTTTTTCTAAATCTTTATAAATTTATCTTGATTTTATTGTTCATGTAGGATATGTGAGCATTTTTTCCTCACTCTTTTTTAGTTGATAATATCAAGATTTAGAAAAAAATTAGTTGTTAATTAAAAAATTAAATTAATTATACAAGTATTATTACCAAACACAAACAACTATACAAAGATAATTCTACTAATTAATTACCGATTTGGAAATTATTTAATTAAAGCCTATAAAAAACAGCTATACATAGACAAAATAAAACAAAAATCAAGTTTTTCATCTTTTTACTTCAAATTATTTTGGTAAATTAGATTAGTGATATATACATATATTAAATTTCAAGTTTTTTTTATAAGCATTAAATATTTTTCTTTTTTTTTCTAAATTTGTTAGAAATGTATCTTGATTTTAGTGTTGTCATGTAGGATATGTGAGACTTTTTTTTTCTCTCTCTCTCTCTCTCTTTTCGAGTTCATATTATCAAGATTTAGAATAAATTAGTTATTAATTAAAAATTAAATTAATTATGCAATGACTATTATTAAACACAAAGTACTATGATAAAGATAATTGGTCTAATTAGATATCTATTTGGAATTCAATTAATAAAAGCCTAGAAAAAATAGCTACATATAGACAAAACAGAAAACAAAAGTCAAGTTTTTCATCTTTTTATTTCTAATTATTTTGGTAAATTAGATTACTCTTCTATATATTTATTAAATATCAAGTTTGTTTTTAATAAGCTTTAAGTATTTAGCCTTTTTTTTTTTTAAGAAATTTATCTTGACTTTGATTCTATCATTAAGGCAAGTATCATTATTAAACACAAACTATATAATAAAGATAATTCTACTAATATAATAATTATAATTCTACTAGTTAGTTATCTATTTGGAATTTAATCAATAAAAGCCTAGAAAAAAATAGCTACACGTAAACAAAATAAAACAAAACAAAAATCAAGCTTTTCGTCTTTTTATTTCTAATCATTTTGGTAAATTAGATTAGTCATCTGTAAATATATTAAATTTTAAGTTTTTCAATAAGCATTAAGTGTTTAGTTATTTTTTAAAAATATTTTAGCAATTTATCTCCATTTTGATATTGCCATTCAAGAAATGTGAGTGCT